CAAAAAAAAGAAGAAACTGTTATTGCGTATGTGTTTTGCAAAGTGATCGTAGAACCCTAACGGTTCCCTCTCTCGCAATATATATTCCGCTTGATCGAAGCTGGGGCACGCAATCGCATACAGCACTAGTGCATACTTTGAAATTTGACAATAAAACAATTAAAGGATTAGATCCAGACCTTTGAAGAAGGTTGAATTGTCGTTTCCAGGACGTTGTAGCTGTGGTTTTTAATACGCGTCTTCATGTTTGATTTGGAATCTGGATTGTTTCACCAACTTCTTGAGATCAATTGCCGTCGAGTCACCGGCATATTGATGTTGATTTCGTCCTTTTCTGCTCTCTGGCACAGAAACGTGAAAACCTATAAGTAGGGTGTCCTCGGCAAAGGGTGTTTGAGACGCTTGGTCGTTTGGGAACGAGGTGCAAAGCAGTAGTGACCAGTTACAACCCAAGGCACTCACTCCCAGATCATAATGAGGCCCCAGTCACACTGTTCATTAATATCCCTTTATACAAGTGCATCGAGAATTCCCGTGCACGAAATGGTCATATTCTCAGATGGCTGAAGTCGAATTCTTAGTCTCACTACTGTAGGCAACCAGTAGTTAAAAATTGCCCACCTTTAGTGTACATTTCTTCATAGGTGGAACCTAGGAGACTAGGTCACATAGGCCCCGTTAGACTGCCAGGCTGGGGACCCCGAGATGATAATTACCGATGGTTAGAGACACTGAATGATGTGCCTGGGTGTCGCTCGTGCATCCGCTCATTATTCTCCTAACACCACTCTATATGAATTCTTCATCTTCCACTTGAATTTGCTTTCAACACTCCTATCTTTCTCTTGCTCCAAGTGGGCGGTCAAAAGACAGCAACCAAAATCGGCTCACGAAAATACATGGTTAATGGTTGTAAAAACTGAACTGAACTGAAGCTCTGATACACTCCGGATTAGCTCTGTCATTCACACCAACTAGCCTGTTCCCAGAAAATCTCACTGTTATCTACGTTACAATCAACGCACAGATGCACACACACTCTTGCATACATCAGAGGGAGACTGTGTGTGCGTATGCACCTATTCACCAGAGCTGGGTTCAGGCTATGCAGAACTCCACTTTAATGGTCTGCAATTTTTAACCATATTTTTTGTACACTGTCACATTCATTCACCTCCCCCCGAACCATAATCGCTCACCTCTCGTGTATACTGTTTTTCCCGTTCACAGAATGTGGACACAACAGTTTGGAAGATGCCTCTGCCTGCATGGAATTGATGCAGTACAAAGTGAAGGAAGATCTTCGCCGGGGAAAATGGGCTTTCAAGAAAACCGTTTGACCATTCGTGTTGACAGGTCCCGCACGCGGTCTTGGTTAATCCATCCCGAAGCAGATACAGAAAACTACTCACTTGTTGGTGCGTGTGTGTGTTTGTGTGTACTTGCCTCGGTCTAACTAACTATCCAGTTCCACCTGTTCATCCAATACGGGCTGTTTGTGCCTGCGCGTGCGATAGTCGGACGCTCACATTTCCAGGATGTGATTGGTCAGTGGGTTGTTCCAATACCGCACTCAGTTTCCGGGGCAATCTGACTGTTGGCCTGCGGAACGGAATGAGATAGGTCAACTCCCCGTTGCCTTGTCGCTCTCCTTTTTGCTCCCATCATCCTTATCACACCGTAATCCCCATACCATCCATCCATGTGCATTCCTATTTCGCCTTCATCTGTGAGAATACCTCTCTCCTGGTCCGAACCTTTTGTACATACACCCGTAATCCACATCTGTCCCAGTACGCTTCTGTTGTTGTTTTTCTTTTTCGTTCACGGATCTCCGAACTGAACGGGTCTGTGCGATTTTCCTGAAAAAGAAAACAATTACCCACCCCCCGCGCTGAACACCCCCATCCCACATGCACACACACACACACGTCCTATTCCTGCAGAATCACGTATCATTGATCCGGTTGTTAGTTTGATTGTTTTGTTTCCCCATTTGTGTACGCTCATGCTCGGTCTTGGCGAACAAGGCGCGGCGCTCAGTCAGTTTCATTCTCTTATTCCTTCACATAGAATCGAAAATACACGGTTCGTTTCCTGTGCGTTTCTAACCGCGTGCAGCTCAGCGGCAAACCGAGTCTTCTTATTCCCGCGTGCACAAGTAAAGTACACGATGAGCGAATTTCTGTGCCATTTTTTTTGTCTGGTACGAGCGGCATTCGGACAGGTCGACTCAAAGAGGCTGACTAGGATTTTCGAAGTGAGAAATTAAATTAATATCGGTACAAGTGAATGTATTCCTCGGTGTAACACTTCGAATTTCTTCGTCTTGCATAGCGCCGGGACCATTTTCGAAGAATTATTGCTAGAAACATGTTTCACAGGCATCGTATTCTGATTAAAATCAGCTTTTACAAGATGCATTGTGTGTGTAAGTGGGCGGGTAGGGGAGTGAAACACCATGTATATAATTGTAAGATTATAAACCTCCTGGTTTAATGGGGGGCTAGCTCCAAAAAGCGCGGAGAGCTCTCTGTATCCATTTACCCAAAGTCATAAACGATCGCCACAGGCTCTACAACGATAGAGCATGCTATGGTTCTAGTATAGGATGGAATGTGTGTGTGTGTGTGTATAACTTTTCCATCGGATAAGTCTCACTATTTCTTCATTATTGCGAAAGCGGCATGCCAATTATACTGGTAAATAGTCAGTACGATTTCGAACGCGAATACAATTCATGGTTCGTGGAGGTATATGCTTAATTCAAGGTCGGTGTACTAGATGAACTGGCGAGTGTTGTAAAAGTAAAATAGTCAGTCACAATGTACATATCGTTCGGATACCATACCATGGCTCTTAAATAACGTAAGTGAAAATGATAAACATAGTAATTTCGATTTCCTCTGGCCGCTAATCTGTTATCCACTTTCGAATAATGACCACTGATTTGTAGTATGACCTTGTGTGTGCGGCGAAATTGGAACAGCGTAGATGCTTTCACTGCACGAGTCATCGTGATAAATTCTAAATTAAACGCTATGATCCACATGTTCGTGCAGATTAGAGCACCAATGCTGTCAGAGTAGGATTCATAAGCACAATTGGTATTTTCTGTGGATATCGGGGGTCGAAAGCTAGCGGTGCTCATACTGGCATCAAAATGCGAATCGATGCTTTGTTCAGTCGAGCCTGGAACTCATTGGCCACACCCATCGCTGCGCTACACTCTTGCTTGTTCGTTACATTGGAATTTATCGTTCACCCCGTCCATATATCGGTGCTAATCATGTCCAGGATTTATAAACACTCGTCAGGAAATGCTACGACTAACAACTGAATGCTGTGCTACCCGCTAATTTTTTTGCTTGTTGAGAGTCATAAAAGACTTTGGGTCAAAAAATGCAGACGGGCCGGATTGCAAACTGCGCTTACTTGCACCCTTCCTGCCATGATGACAGTGCCATCATTGGTCAGCATTAACGCTCGCTCGCTATTCGCGAAGTTCTCGGATGTAATCTCCATTCTGAACTCACACATAAATTCCAACACATGTGTTGCTTGTGTACAAGAAACTTGGTGGAATCAAAACATTGAGGACGTGCTCGTGTGAATAGAAGGGTTTGATTGCTACCGGCAGGATAGACAGCGAAGTAGGAAAAGAACCGGAGGTGGTGTGGCTACTGACATCAATGTTTCCTGGTGTGGTAAGTCAGAAGTTATATTTAACTACTCTGAAAACTGCATTGACTGTTTGTCTGTTCGTTGTCACCCTAAATTTTCTCGTCACAAAAGTATAATCATCACCAATCTGTATATGTC